ATTAAACAATAAATCCTAATACCTTACATTGTATTTAATAAACACTAATACTATTACTATTACAAACTCTGTAAACCTCTAATAATGTTACTGTTTAATCCTTAACCACATGACTTACCCTATTTGTATTTATTGACTTAAAGTGATCGAAAGCCTTAACCATCCACAAGCCAAATCTAACACCCTCTTTTGAAAAGATTACTTGTTATATATTATATGAGGTTTTGAATTTTGAAGTGACTGAGTCACAATCTAAAAAACTCAATAGTATATAATAAAATTTATATTTAATAAAATTAATTATTGTTTTAAATATTTTTAAAACTAATATTGGTTTTTTTTTAATGTTAATGGTGAGGCTATGCTTTTATCTTTATTGAATATTTAATTGAGATTTTACATAAAGTACAATTCTGCTTTTAAAATATTATAGAAAGAATAGAAGCTCAGACTAATTTATCTGTGACCTAAAAACTAACATTATATTGCTTTATTGTTATAACTTATTAATATAAAATTTATTTGATACTTATTAATATAAATCATGTTTTTTATATAATTAATAAATAGTAATTTCTTTTATAATAGCTATATATTAATCTATATTACAATTAATATAATCTAATAGAGAAATTATTATTGATATATATCTTTATTAATAATAATTAATATATATTAATTTATATATTTTTTTTTTTAATATTAAGATGACCTTTTTGATCTTTTGACTTTATTAACATATTTTTATAATTATAGTTCTATAAGAAGTTATTACAGAAAGAATATACAATTAGCTATGCATGTAACTTTTTATATTATCTATTTAAGGAGTTCTTCTAATGTTCTTTACCAATTGCTGTATCTAACTTCTCTGCTTAGATGTTCTATTTAAATCTTTTGAACCTGTTTTATATTACTTCATTAGATCAAGTCTGTATCTTTTATTTTAACATTAGGACATTTTTATCTTTAAGATAAACTTTTTGCAACTTACTGTATACCTATTTTTGCAATTAATTTAGATATCCTTATAGCAGAATCAACACTTGCAATTAGAACTAACTTTTAAACTACTATGCTTTTGTAGAGTTCATTCAGATTCTAGTACCTACTTCATAGCATATTTATAGTACTTTGTATATCTTTGCTTCTTTTATCAAACTCCCAATTCAGATAGTTTATATATAACTATAATTAGTATATTAGTATATTGAGTCAGTCTAATATTTTTTTTCTCTAATTTAATTGAGTAAACTAGTTGATGTTACTTTTGAAACTTTTAATCTAAAGGTTCTTGCCTATCTAGTTACTTTAACACTGGTATTTATTTTGTAGATCTAGTCTTTATAGTAATAGCATTAAAGATCTGTTTTATTTTTTTACTTATATCTTTTCAAATAAGTTTCTTGTTCTCAAATTTCTATAAATTTATATAGCTAAAATAACTTATCTTAAGTTTACATTATTTAATACTGGTTTGTATTTCTTTATATAATTAGATACACAGATGTCTAATGACTTGCCAGTTATACTTATATGCCTATAATCACAGATATCTTAACTCAATTATTAAAAACAGTTATTGTAATACTAGATTACATAGATGCTGTTAATGAGATTTGAATACTCAATCTACCACTTGGGAGATTAACAACCTGATTACTTTACTAGGTTACTACACTCTATTTATATTTTTTGCTAATGATATTTAATTTAATATACTATATTTATTTAACTATTATGCTATACTTTAACTATTATGCTATGTTTTCTTTAACTATTATACTATATTTATACTAACTATTATACTATAAACTATTTTTTTATTTATTTTATTATTATATTATATTTATTTTGTAATATTTATTTTAGTAATATTAGTATTAATAAAAATATTTTTTTATATTACTTTTTACTTAACAATATATAAAAAAAGCATAACTTTATATTTTTATTTATTTTTTTGTAAATAACTTATTTTGCAGAATTATTTGGAATTATTAAGTTTTTTATTTTTATTATTTATTTATATATATATCATTTAGTAAAAAATAGATACTTAAAATTTTATAAAACCTCAGTATATAAAAAAAAGTGTAATAACTAATTAAATATATAAATCTGTTTATAAATTTTTTTTAAAACCTGATTTTCAAATTTAAAAAACTGTTAAAACCAGATTCAATCATATAATCACTAAGATAAATACAGTATTTATTATTAAAATCTACTATTAAGATAATTGTAATGTGTCAAGATTAGTACTTTTCAAATTTGCTTGCATTTTGTTATGAATATTAAACACTTTTGTGAAAGAAGTTATGCTTTAGATTTGATATATATTTTTGTCTTTAATGTTTGTTTTAGTTAATTCTACTTTATACATGCAATACATATATAATATATATCATATATAAATAATATTATTGTATAAGCTATACTAGTCTTGATAAGCATATAATAAGCTTTTATAACCCGATCTTCCTTAGCATTATCAGAAAAAATTTTACTGTTATGTGAAATATGACAAAATTTTTTAAGCTTATTTATGCCAAGGTTAATGCTATGTTAGGATTAGAATTTGGAGGTTTAATAGTAAAATAGTTCAAAGAAACCTTTTTGTTAATGTGCAAAAGGTGGTTTATTATGTAGATTTTGAGTTATAGGTGATTTTAAACTAAACAAATATTTGTTTTGTATTTTCTAATTACGTAACATTATACTAAATCATGCTTTATTATTGGCTTATTTTATAGATTATCATGTAACAGTAAAAATTGCATAGTGTCAAAGATAAAACTGATATCTTATAGAAACTGCAAAATGTACATTATTTTGGCATACTTATCTAATTAGAGTTGCCCATGATGATCCATTTGAAACATGTGTACCCAACCTCAAAAGAAGCTATATAGAAATAAATAAGCCTTTATACAGAACTCTACTACCTCACCAATTAACATAAGCTCTATCTAGACCAACTTGTTGTGCTTGGAAATAGATAATGACTTTATCTGCCTTACTTGAATTAGGTGTAAGGTAATGTTAAAGGGGTGCGATTGAAGACAATATAATGAGTTCTGGCCTTAGGATCGAATAACTAAAACATTTTTTATTGGTACTATAAAGGCCATGAGAAATATTAAAATAACAAATAGTAGTGTAAAAAGGGTTAAAGGTTATAACAAATAAGATTGAGAAGTGTAAAGAATAATAAGAAGAGTCATGGTCATGTACAGGCTCTTCATATAGTAACATTTATTATAAAAAAGTAGAATTTCATCTCTTCCAAAAGGTATTTTAGTATAGTTTAGCATAGTTCAATATAGCTTAAATAACCTCTAATAATATACTTGTATGGCCTCTACAAAATATTAATAAAGTTATTAATAAAGACTTTTTGAACTGCCAATACAATAATGCTCTTTAAAAACTGTAGTACTTATCTTGTAACACTCCTTAAATAATTATTTTAATTTTGTGCCAAATTGTTAAACCATCTCTATTATTTTTGAGAAATGTTATATGGCATAACCCTTTTTCTAGCAACAATATGTCATATTTGCTCCAATCTTTGGACTTAGCATTAAACCTGTAACAATAATTGGTGGTGACTATAAGATTGAAATAACCAAAACTTTATTAACCAATGTTTGAAAATACAAAAAAATAAAAAATAAAAATTTCCAATCAGTTAATAATACTTAACAAAAAATAAAAGATTTACAACAATAGTAACCATAATTACCTTATTATTAGAGTGCCTCATAATAGATTCCACACTGACTCTAATATAAATAAGGGTAAAAATCCGATTATTAATCTTTTTTTTTTATTTTAACAAGAATAATTAAGAAAAAAATATATAGCAGAATTTTTTTTATATAAATATCTATTGAAACTATGAACTCTCAACAATCTAATGATTATAGAACTTCTTTCAATGTTTTTGATAATGCCAATTTATTAACCTTTGACAACAACCATCCCTCTGAAAATCATAATATCTCTGTGAATAGCCTTTTGCCAAATAGAAACAATTAAGCCAATAATGAAAGACAAGCCCAAGCACAAGACCCAAACATTCTTGAATTAATTTTGCAAATATTGCTGCTAGATTTAAATAAGTAACTATAGAAGTTGCTGCTGCCACCAGACCTCCTGTTCATTAAACCAATTTAGTCTGTATAAATGCTTTTTATAAAGACAAAGAAGAAGACCCTTTTGAGTAGGTAGAAGCCTTTGATTATACAGCTAATACCAATAATTGGTCTTCTGAATACAAGATAAAGATAGCCTTTGGTTATTTATGTGGAATTGCCACAAGTTGGCATGATGGAATAAAAGATAATTTGGTATATTGGGATAGGGAAACCTATTCAAATGAAAGTTTTATTCAATTGTTCATCTAGTATTTCGTGACCTCTAAAAAATGATACAAGTAACAGGTTGACCTAAATGAACTAAAATAGCAGCCATCTGAGCGAGTGAATTCATATGAATACAAGTTTAAGAAATAGTTACAAAAATTGAATTCCAGGAATCAGCTTGCCAGATTGTATATCATATAAATATTTTTAGATAGCCTCAAAGCTAAGACCACTGCATAATTAAGTATTGCAGACCCTAATAGTTTGAATGCTACAATACAAGATGCCCATAAAATCAAAGCTAAGAAAATTATAATAAAAAAGATGAAAGAAATGAAGCACATGATAGTGAAGTTATCTAATTAACCCAACAAATACAAGTACAACTACTAGGTATAAAAAGTTAACAACCACATTCACTATGTATTTCAAAGCAAGACCCAGAGCAAACAACAATCAGGTAATTACAGTAATCATAGTAATTATAGCAATAACAATTCTTATCTGACTTGTTGTAATTGTGAAGAACCTGAATATATCTCATGCAATTGTATATTAAAAAGAACCCAAAACCAAAATTGGCCCCAAATGCAAAATTGAATAACATCTCAAACCAAGCCTCAAATTTACATGAATCATACTGCAACACTAACTCAGATTCTTCTCTATTCAAGAGATGCCAATCACATAAGTGTAGTTGATGAACCAAACAAAAACATCAATGAAAATGAAGCCTTTACTGTATCTGCCATTCGTCATCAATCTTATACTACTCAAAAATCCAGCCATTATAGAAAAATAGTGCCTATGTCAACTAATGAAGGATCTCATCCCAACCAGGCCTCTGAAATTGTGCCTGCCATGGCCCTATTAAGTAAAAACCTACCAGTAACAACTGTTTTAATAATGCCTATTCCAGTAATATCTGCCCCAATAATGCCTACTCCAGTAATGTCTGCTCTAGCAGTACCTCTTCCAGTAGATATCCTACAAGTACCTTATAAATAAAGAGAACCTTTAGTAGTCAATAACCTGGAACCATATAACATTGTGTAGGATTTGTTAAATATGAAAGCCAATGTTTTTTAGATCAAATATTGCAATATCCTGATCAAAAATACAACCTAACAAATATGATAAAAAAGTTCTTAGTATCTGTAACAACCCAGAACCCTGAACCAATTGATATGAAAGTAATGACTATACAAGTCTTCACAATTGCAAGAAACACCACTGTCTGTTGCCACATTAGGATTAAAGAAAACTACATAGTACCTATGCTTAATTCAAGTGCTACTATTAGCATAATGTCAAATAAAATAATAGAAAAACTGCAGTTGAAGATTGATGAACCTTCTACAACAATGATCATTATTTCAAATGGAGCCAGGGTAAGGGCACTTGGAAAAATAATTAACCTTAAGTTGGTCATAAGCAGTTTAGTGGTCTCGACCACTTTTCAGATTATAAAATCAACTAAACAGACCCTTCTGTTAGGTATGAATTGGTTTTGTCAAATTGGCACCTATTTGCACATTGATGAAAGAAAGCTGTATGTGCAATATCAGAGTAAATTTATAGAAATACATATGTTTTATGAAGGAGAAATTTTACCAGCACCCCTAGCAGATAATGAAGACCTATTTGACAATTTTAAATTTGATAATGAAAATTTAGACAAACTGGACAGTTTCTTAACTGACCAATATAGCAAGTTGGAGTTGTATAACAATCTGTGGCTTTATTATGAAAGTTCAGCTATGTATCTGTCTAGTATTAAAAGTATTTTTATAAATGAAACTGAGAAAGAAGAAGTAAGTGTAATCGAAAGTTAAAGAAGAACCTTGATGATGAAGCTATAACAAATGATCAAAAAAACCACATAAACAACATATTGAGTCAGGAAGTAGACATTTTTGCTGAAACTATAAACAATCTTGAACAAACATTAGTATACATTAAAAAATAAACACTGAAAGTGCCTTTCCAATTAAGCAAATTCTCTACTGTGCTGCCACTAGTATGTGCTGCTTCATAAAGAATGAAATCAAAAAGTTGAAAACAAAAGGTTTAATTAAAGAAAATACTAGCCTATAGGCATTTTTTTAGTTATTGTACTGAAAAAAGGTAGTAAACTATGCCTCTATATCGACTATTAGAAGCTCAATTTGGTTATGAAAAGGATACATTTTTCCTTCTCTGTGTTGATGACCTTTTAGAAGTTTTTGGATTAGCCACTTGGTTTTCAATATTGAATTTGCTATCCAGATACTGGCAAGTTTATGTAAAGAATATCAATAGAGAAAAGCCCATGTTTATTATGAATTTTGAGATGTATGAATTTGTGGTAATGCCATTTTACCTAATGAATGCTTCTGCCAAATTTCAATGAATGATAAATAAAGTGTTAGCAGAATTCTTGAATAAATCATTGTTATATACCTTAATGAAATCATCATATATTTGCTAACATTCGAAGATCATACTAATTATCTCATTACTGTTTTTGATAAATTAATGAATATAAGGTTGAAATTAAACTCAGATAAGTGCTTTTTCTTTAAACTTCACTTGCAATTTTTAGATTATATTGTCAGTAGAGAGGGTATCTACTTTAACAAAAGAAATATAAAGAAAGTTCATAACTTTTTTGTTCTCTAGTCTCTTCACAAATTATGAAATTTTTTAGAGATAGCTTCATATTATCAGAAGTTCATTGTCAAATTCACTACTATAACATGTTTTTTGCATCTATTATTATAAAAAAACATCAAATTTGAGTAGAAAAAAGATCAAGATGATGCCTTTAATAAATTAAAGAACACTTAATAGATGTACTGATTTTATGTTACCTGAATTTTAATAAAGTATTCATAATTTATACAGATGCTTCTGTGTTCAGTCTAGATGATGCATTAGTACAAAAAGATGATTAAGATAATGAATACATGGTCATATATGTAAGCCATATAATAACAAAGACCAAAATGAATTACACCACTACTGAGCATGAGTGTTTTGCTGTTCTTTGAGTAATTGAGTACTTTCATCATTACATCAGATTGGACTTTTTCATTATAGTAACTGATTATTTTACCTTGAAGTAGCTTCAAACTTTTGTGTTGAGTGATTGATAAGCTCTTTGGATATTAAGACTGCAGCTTTATAACTATAAAATAATTTACTATTGTGGATGTATCTATAATAATGCGAATGCATTATTCTAAATTAGAGAGTCTTCAAATGAAGTGTACCATCATACTGCTAATAAAAATGGAAAAAAAAGGATTAGTAAAAGGTGAGAACTAAATAAACAAAAAAAAATTTGTTATTGTATAAATGAAATTCAAACCAGAATACAAATGTCTTGGCCCCTTCTATCACAAAAGCAAAAACAATTGAAAAACAAACAAAAAAAAAAGAGAGATAATAAGTAAATAAATAAATAAATAATAATAAAAAAAAAAAAAGAGAAAAAAAAATAATATAAAATTAAAAAAAAAAATCATTAAATATTTTAATAAGTGATGGCAAATTAGTAGTGCAAAATAAGTATATAAATATATATATATTTGAATAATAATAAAATAAGTACAATAAAAAATAAATAAAAAAAAAACTATAAATATGGATCCCACTTACTATCAGCAATTAAAGCAATATCTACCTCTAACTATCGATCAAGTCTAGCAACAATGAATCAAAAAGAAGAGTAACTTCTTCGATCTCAAAGATGGATTCTTATATTAGAAAGACCAAAGACATAAAGAAAGGCTATTATGAGTTTTGCAACAACATGAAGTTGAACCAATACTGTTTTTTATGCATATGCATCTGCTAAATGGACACTTTAACAAGGATGTTATGTTAGAGAAGATTTGTAATATGTACTTTTGGCCCCAAATATATCTAGATATAGGCTTTTACATTCAAACATGTGACCAATGTTAGCACTAAACACAAGCATATGAACAAGACCCTCTACACCTACTACCAATAACTGTGCCCATCCATAAAATCAAGATAGATTTTGTTGACTCCCTATCACAAACCCCCAGAATAAATCGATACATTATTATCTCTACTGATTATATGACCTATTGGCCTAAACACATGCTATACAGAAAGTGAATACTCAAACCATTGCAGAATTCATCTATAATAATATAGTGTATCATCATGAGTGTTCAAATTGAATTTTGTTACATTATAGAATACATTTAAGAAATGAGCTAATAAGGCACCTGTTGAAAAAACTAAAGATTAAGCAAAGTTTCTCCATACCATACCATCTTCGTACTAATGGCCTAGTTGAATACTTCAACAAGACCTTGAGTAAAGCTATTATCAAACTAGTAGAAAACATTGTCAATTGAGACTTACTAATTCTTTTAGTATTATTTGCCTATCAAACTGTCTAAAATTCTGCTACTTAAATGTCACCTTTTCTATTGGTATATAGTCATGAAGCAAAACTATCTATCCATCTGTATTAAGAAAAAGAAACCTTAAAAGGAACTATATTGTAAAAGACTTTCGATCTTATAAACATTATACCTACCCTTCATGAAAAAACCATCTAGCAGGTTGGCTAACAGCAATTAAAGTAAAAGGATTATCATGATAAGCACTATAAAATCAACTCTGGATTTGATATTGTGGATAAAGTTTTGCTTAAAGATGCTGCAAAAAGGTATTTATGTAATTAAAAGTTCATACTAAAATATAAAAGATCATTCTATATTTATAATAAGCTGGTGAACAATGTATATAAATTAAGGATAATGAATAGAAAGTTAATAATAATAGCTTTCAACTTGCAGCTGCTGAAGAAGTATCATGAAAGAAGTGTCAAATGAGTAAAATAGTAAAAACATAAAAAAAAAAATAATAATAATAATAATAATAATAATAATAAATTCTATATCTGGTACCTTTTTTGATGGGTTGGTTATGACAGTCATATATAGGGATATGTTTAGGATGTATGACAAGAGTTTGGTATGCTCTTTGTTTTTGAATATGGTGTGTTTTGTCTCTTTTTTCTTTTTGTTTCAAATCTGTGTATAAGTTTTTGGTTGTGTATGACAGCCATATATGTGAGTTGGGGATTTACCCTTTGTCTTAGACATAAATGTTATTATTTTTATTGTGTTGAATTCTTTTCATTTTGAATTGGAATCATATGACTCACAGTTAGTTGTTTGAAATTAGTCTAGAAATTGACAATTGACTTGTTAGTATAGTATAGCATAATGTAAAAAAAAAAAAAAATCTTTTTCTTACTGAGTAGACTGTGAATTAAACTTCTGAATCATCAACTAAATTACAAAGGATGCCCTATGAACTCAACTCCTATAAACCTTTTTCACAAGACAAAAAAAAACAAGGTGGGAAGAAATGTCAAAGGTAAAACTGACATCTCATGGAACCTGTGAAATGGATGTCATTGTGGCATACTTACCTAATTAGAGTTGCCCATGATGATCCATCAGAAAAATGTAAGCCTGGCCCCAAAAGAAACCATATGGAAGTATACAAGTTTCTATGCAGAACCCCACCACCCCCTTCAATTAAAGTAAGGTTGACCTAGACCAACCTATTGTGCTGGGAATGGACATTGACTTCATCTGCCTTACTTGGGTTAGGTGTGAGGCAATGTCAAGAGGATGCGATTGAAGACAATACAATGGGTTCTGGCCCCAGGGTCGAATAACTGAAACATTTCTTATCGGTACTATGAAGGCCATGAGAAATGTTAAAGTAACAAAAGGCTGTGTGGAAGGGGTTAAAGGTTATAATAAATAAGGTTGGAAAGTGTAGGGAATAATGAGAAGAGTCATGGTCTTGTATGGGCTCTTCTCATGGTAAAATTCATTATAAAAAGGGTGGAATTTCCCCCCTCCCAAAAGGTATCTCAGTATAGTCCAGCATAGTTCAATATAGCTCGAATAACTCTAACAATATACTTGTACGGCCCCTACAAAATATTAATAAAGTTATTAATAAAGACCCTCTGAACCGCCAATACAATAATGCTCTTTAAAAACTGTAGTACTTATCTTGTAACGCTCCTTAAACAATCACCTTGACCTTGTGCCAAATCGTTAAACCGCCTCTATTATCTTTGAGGAACGTTATGCAGCATAACCCTTTTTCTAGCGACAATCCGTCGCATTTGCCCTATCTCTGGACTCGACATTAAACCCGTGACAATAGTAATTTTTCTGGCGATCCTGGGTAGTTTAGTAACCCGGGTCAAAATAGAATTTCTGTTATATATATTATATACAGCTATTTAAATAATGGTTCAAATGCACTTTAGCGGGTACTAATACATTGAATTATCACATTCCGCAGATTTTTCATTCTAGCACGTCGCA